GTAGAGAGAGAGGCCTGCCATGGGCATAGCTGACAAGCTGTCCTAACCTAAGAGTTGTATCCTGATCCTTAATTGTAACCTGTTAGTTCCCTGATAAACCCCATAACTATGAATATGGTCTATGAGTTCTGTATGGCCTCGCAAAGAATTACCAAATGGCAATGAGTTTGGATAGAGAGTGTCGTGGGAGGGATGGCTGGTATGAAAATTGGTAAAAAGGTTGATGGTATGTCCGAATTCCATCTCCCAGCAAACAACCTTGGGCTGTTGATGCTGCTAATGATTTTCCTACCCCTCACCAATATCCCAATGCCTTTCTTTACAGTAGGTGAAACCCCATTTTTAAAAGGTATTTTTTGCACCCAGCTTTAAAAAGTCTGCTTATACTGGGTGAGCAAAGTGAGTGTTTAAAATACTGTGGAAATAACTCTAAAATAACAATTTAAGTAAACAGTTTTTTATTTATTTTCATTTTCTATAAATGATAGAAGTTATTTTTAAGTCCATTATAACAATTAAATACTTCCAATCATTTTTTCTAATGGAAGAGGCTATATGACTGAGAGACATGATGATACTGTGGTTTTTGTGTATTCTCATCAAACTTCATATGCAATTTTAGTCAGCAAATAAATTATTTAGAGTTTTGTTTTCCTCTGCTGGCTACTTACTATTAGCTTACTGTTTAGAAGTTTAATAGGGGAAAGAGACCCCAAATTGAAACAGGTTCAATAGAGATACTTTTATTAAGCCTTGGACAGATTAAAAAGACAAAACAAAGACAATCATCTTGGATGAGGGAAACCATCAGTATGAGGAAGCAGAATGAAGTCTGCTGAGTCATGGACATGTGGCTAATTATATATGATTTTAAATCATCACAAAATCATGATTGATGGTACGTAGATTCAACAGTGTTGCAGGCCGGACTACAGAAACAAGGAAAAGACCGTGATTGGGATTTGAAGACAGGAAAGGGTTACAGAATTGGTTCTGGGCCTTGACTACCTGCTTAACTGGTGCTATGACTCAGGACCGTGCAGCCTGAATCTTAGCCACAAGGTGGCTACCAAACAGTATGTGGTGTAGTGCCGAAGGCACTTGACTACTAACCAGAAGGCTGATGGTTTAAACCCACCAGCCACCCCTCAGAAGGAATATTGGGCAGTCTACTGCCATAGAGATGTTGTTGTTGTTTGCCGTCGAGTCGGCCCTACTCATAGTGACCCCTTCTTGGGTTCCCCATAGTGACCCCTCCTTGGGTTCCGAGGCAGTATCACTACGGAAGTAGATTGCCCAACCTTCCTTCTGAGGAGTGGCTGGAGGGTTTGAACCGCCAGCCTTCTGCTTAGCAGTCAAGTGCCTTAGGCACTACGCTACCAGAGCTCCTTCCAAGGAGGGGTCGCTGTGAGTCAAAGGGACTTGACAGGCATTGAGTTTGGTTTGGTTTGGTAACCTTTATTTAAATTAGCAAAGGACACTCTCAGGCAAGTTCCCTAGTTCTTTGTAAGCATATAATCTATTTTCAACCACATTCTTCTGGGAGGCAAACTGCCCCTCCCTAGGTTTGTCCTGGAACTTGTCTGTGCATAGCTACAATGCTTGTTTATGGTCAGAAAGAACCCAAATGGCATCTGAAACTTATGTCAAGCCTCAAAATGGAGTTAGGGCTCCCACTGCAAGAACACAGACTTCCACAAACCAAGTGCTTTAGAATTTAAGCTCTAATACAGAAGCAAGAAAAAGCCACTTACAGGATAAACCAAGTGGTAAAATTTAGAATGTTTTTTGCCTTGAATTGTATAGTGATTTTGAATTTTTTCTCTTAAATAGATTTTAATTTTTAGAGCAGTTTTAGGTTTAGAGAAAAATTGTGCAGAAAGTACAGAGCTCCCATATACCCTTTCACCACCCCCACCCTTCCATATATTGTTTTTCATAGTGCCTAAGGCACTTGAAGGAGCTCTGGTAGCATAGTGCCTAAGGCACTTGACTGCTAACCAGAAGGCTGGCGGTTCAAACCCACCAGCCACTCCTTGGAAGGAAGATTGGGCGATCTTCTTCCATAGTGATACTGCCTCAGAAACCCAGGAGGGGTCTCTATGAATCAGAGACAACTCGCCCACATAACCACCACAACAGCCCCTCCATATATTGTGTTTCCTATTGTTAATATCTTGCATTGGTGTGGTACTTTGGTTACATTTGATGAACCAATGTTGTGATACATTATTATTAACTAAAGTCTATAGTTTACATTAGAGATGATACTTATATTATATAATCCTATGGTTTTCACAAATGCATAATGCCCAGTGTGTGTCTATTATTACAGTATCATACGTAATAGTTTTATTGCCCTAAAAATACCCTGTGCTCTACTTAGTCATCCCTTCTACTGTCACCCTGAGCCTCGGAACCACTATGTTTTTATAGTTCTGCCTTTTCTAAAATGTAATATTAATTTCAGGCTAGTTGGGGGCCACATGCTAACGTGGGTAAGGGAAGTGATGGTATATAGTCTGTGACCACCATGATAACATTAGGAAAAGGGAGGACACCGAAATGTGTACATAAGATATAGACGACAGATGCTGATACCAACCAGTACATCCACAATACTGAATTACCATTAACACCAAATACCAGGCTACAGATAAACACATAAACATCTGAGAAGATCAGATGGGGATCAGTGAACAGTGTTATACTCTAGACCAAGGATAGATTCAGCAGAAGCTAATCTTGCACAGATACCAGTGATACACAATACCCACAATCCTTACAGAAACAATGGAAGACAGACATAGAATAATCCCTCACAGACAGCAAGACACCGTGGGAGAGAGATCCATTGGATCTATCGACTCAGGACCGTAGTATTGGGGGATACCAGACTCAGTTGGCACAACAAAGTACATGAAAGTCTTGTTCTTCATCCTACATTGATGAGTAGTGACTGGGGTCATAAAAGCTAATGGTCTCCATAGTTGCAGAGGACATCAAGCTCAATTGGCATAACATACTACACAAAACATTGTTCCACCTCCTACTTTGGCGAGTAGCAACTGGGATCTTAAAAGCTTGCAAACAGCCATCTAGATGCAATGATGGGTCTCACCTCGTTCAAAGCAAAGAATGAAGAAAACCCAAGATTCATGGAAACAATTAGTCCTCATGACCAGTACACCATGCAATCCTCAGCCTATACTACTGTGAGACCAGAAGAACTAGATGGTGCCCGGCTACCACTGTCAACCACTCAGAGGGGGATCTATGTAGGAGATCCTGGATAGAGAGGGAGAACAATGTGGAACAAAATTCAAAATCATTTGGAAAAAAAAAAAGGGGGGGGGGACCAGGTTTGCTGGTCTGATAGAGCCTAGTAGAACCACTAGACTACTGAGACTGTGGTCTTCAGGTCTGGAATTGAACCCACCTGTGGCTTCCAGCCAAACAAAAGACAGGCATAGGAGTTGAACACGTACCTGAGGTAGATACACTCCTTGGAGAGAACAATCATGGGAGGAAGAAGGGCTGTGTATGCACAGGGAGACAGCTCAGGGGCAGGAGTACATGGAGGGATGGACACAGGGAAGAGGTAACTATCAGGAGGAAGTGGGAGGGGAGCTATTGCATTGTGGCAAATTGTAGTTAATGTCATGAGACAAAGTGTGTGAGAACTGCTGTATGGAAAGTGAATTTGCTCTGTAAACTTTCATCCAAATGACAATTAAATAATAAAAAAAAAAGCTAATGGTCTCCTATCGTCGGAAGTGAAGAAGAATGAAAAAAAAAAAAACAAGGGCATTTGGAAGCAATCAGCCCTAGACACGCTGGCCCTTGAGACCAGAATAACTAGATGGTGCCCGGGTACTAATGCCAACCACTCAGGAAAGCATCAAATCTGGAGATCCTGGATAGAGTGAAAGGGAAAACATGGAACAAAATCCAAAAACTCAATAATGATCAGAATTACTGGTTGGATGGAGCCTGGTGAGACCCCAATACTATGGCCCTGGGATACATTCTGGGCCTGGAATAAAACTTACTCCCAAGGGCTGGCTCTCAGCCCAATAGTAAACAAGGGATACAGGCAGAACACTCATCCCAGGGTGACACACCCACATCCTCTATGGAAATGCATCCCTTGGAGCAATTGACCACAGGGCACCAGAGAGGCAACATTTGCACTGAGGAAAGGCAGGACACACAGGAGTGTATAACTATGGTGGTGGTGGTGGTTACTGAGCAGGGAGGGGAGGAGACTGGGTTAGGGCTGAGGATGGTAAATGGGGAGTGAAACTAAATGTACATGTAATGTTGAATGTAAAACAAACTCTGTTCTGTAAACTTGCACCTAAAGCACAATAAAAAATAATAATAAAATAAAGGCTACAGGTCTTTAGCATCTGACCCACCAAAATAAATAAATAAAATGTCACGTAGTTGAAATCATATAGCGTGTAGCTTTTTCAGAATGGCTTCTTTCACTTAGCAATATGCACGTAACATTCCGTAGCTTGATAGCTCATTTCCTTTTGTATCTGTATAATACTCCATTGTATGGATGTACCACAATTTGTTTATCCATTCACCTATTGAAAGACATCTTGGTTGCTTCTATAGGTAAATATTTGTTAGACATTTTTGAACAGTATTAATAACATTTAAACTTTGGATTATGTTTGGAAGGAATATAGTAAGATGTTAAATATGTGTCCAATTCTTAATCTGCCTTGAATAGTTAAATAAATTTGGGGGTGGTTTTATGGTGTATAAACATCACAGCTATTATATGCTATGTAGATTATGGATTTTTATTAAGCAACCTAGTTGTATGTATGTTGTCTCCTAAATTTATTATTCTTTTAGTATACAAGAAAAACATGCTTATTGTAGAAAAATAGAATATACAAATTAACACAAAAGAAAAAATCTAATAGTCCTACTACTGGGTTGATTGTATTTTGATTTTGGTTTTCCCTTATTTCTTTCAGAAATATGGCTACACACACCTTTCTGCAGGAGAACTTCTTCGTGATGAAAGAAAGAACCCAGATTCACAGTATGGTGAACTCATTGAAAAGTACATTAAAGAAGGAAAGATTGTGCCAGTTGAGATTACCATCAGCTTATTAAAGAGGGTAAGGAATGTGAATGTCAGCCAGTTTAAACCAGCAAGAAAACTGACATTAAGTCCACTTTTATTTGAGTAGTGAAAAATTAGGATACTGAATTTCTTGCTTGTGGAAGGTGATCATGTTTTAGGAAGTCACGGTGTTTGAGGATGGTAGAACTGCTTTTCACCTGAGAAAAAATGCTGCTGTTGGATAGTAGCAAGGACCATGTACATTGGTCCAGGATTAGGTAGAGCCCAGTTTAATATCTACATGTGCACACTTGACTAGCCCTTCCCAACATCCCAACAATCATTCTCTCTATCATTTCTTCCTCTTTTTTTTTTTTTCCTGTTTTCAGTTTCCTATAAGCCTTCTCCTTCTCCTTTTTTTTAATCTCATTTTCTTTTCAAACCCAGGAGCCTACCCATTGTTGACATTCTCTCAGTCTTGATGTCTGCATTTCTGGTGTATGTGTCAACATCTTTGGCATGAATGCTAAGCCATCAAAGTCTGTCCCCTCTGAAAAACAGGCATCTCACATTGATTTGATAACTCTCCAGTATAGATACCTAAGACTATAGTCATTACAAGATATTTTCACGTATGAAAAAGGAGAAACACAAGAGTGGAAACAACGAGAAATAGCTGAAGCCTGAAGGGCAAGAGATGGAACCAGAGCCGTGTGAGGATGAAGAGAGATGACTCATTTATGAACATTCTTACCCTTGTCCCAGAAATTGGAGGAAGTTGCTTTTGTTCCAGAGTAAATCTTCTCCTCCTGTTCTCTGGATCTAATCCCCTTCCTTTATTTTATACATAAGGATTGCTAAAGAATGATCTACGTATTTTTCACTTTTTCTATTCATTCCTCAACCATGTGCAGTCAGGTTCTGTTTCCATCTCTATTGAAACAATTCCTGCTGATATTACCAATGACATTCTTTATCAAATCTAGGGGATACTTTCAGCAATTATTTTTCTTGCACCATTTAACTCTATCACTCTCTTTTTGAAATTCATTCCTTTGTTTACTGTGACATCTTTCTCTTTTCTTCCTTCTTCAGTGACTGCTTTCTCTCTCTCTCTCTCTCTCTCTCTCTCTCTCTCTCTCTTTTAACAGCTCTTCTTCAGCAAGTTTCCTAAAACATTATGCTTCTCTGAGTTTCATTTTTGGTCCTCTTTAGCTCTTATTTTATATATTTCTTGCTTGACAGTTTTGTCCATGCTCAAGTGTTTCACTATGTCTATAACTCCTGAATCTATAGCTCTAGCACTAATCTTTGTTCTGAATGCCAGACCTATATTTCTAACTGCCAGGCCAGGTATCCATCTGAATATCTCACGTGTGTCTCTAAATCAACATGTCAGAGGCTGACTTTATCACATAAAATGTGATCTTCTTTTATTTCTTGCCTTGGTTAATGATTGTACCATCTAGCTAGCTATCTATGAAAAAAATGAAATGCACTGCCGTCGAGTCGTATTGGACTCATAGCGACCCCTCCTTGGGTTTCTGAGGTGCTATCACCATGGAAGTAGATTGCCCAACCTTTCTTTTGTGGAGTGGCTGGTGGGTTTGAACCACCAGCCTTCTGGTTAGCAGTCAAATGCCTTAGGTACTATGCTACCAGAGCTCCTACCTAGCTGTCTAACCTATCTATTTAGCTGCCCAAGAGAGAAGAAACAAGCCACAAATTTGGGAGCAATCCTGCGTTCTCCTTCTCTTCCTCACTCTCTCAAATCCACTCAGAGAGCATATCCTTCCAGTTGTCCTTCTCATAATCTTCTATCTAGTCTTTTTTCTCAGTCACCACTACTACTTTAGTTTAGATCCTCTTTTATTCTTACCTGGACCATCACTATCAAAACCAAACCAAACCAGTTACCTGGAGTCGATTCTGACTCGTGGTGACCCCATGTGTGCCATAGTAGAACTGCACTCCATAGGGTTTTCAGTGGCTGATTTATCGGGAGTAGATCACCAGACCTTTCTTCCAAGGTACCCCAGGGGGATTTGAACTGCCAACCTTTCGGTTAGCAGTCGAGCATTTAACTATTTGCTTCATCTAGGATTCCTGAACCATAACTGTTGTTGTTAGTTACCTTCCCACAGGAACAAGAGCCATGTCCTTGCTCTTCATGGCCCTGAGAGTAGGCCTTGAATGAATATATATTGAGTGGATAGACACTGATGTGCTTTCTTTAGATATCTTCCACTACCATAGATAGGGTAGAAATGATGTATCACAGGGGCCCAAAAGCATTTTGTGGAAGCTTTGTGAATACTTGATGAGAAGCTAGATGCTAGGATCAAGCCTAGCCTCAGATAAAGGAATCAAAGGTCCTTACAACCATTTTCCTTCTTGAAGAACCAGGCAATAGTCTAAGCATTGAGAGGAGAATATTTATTCTGACAGTAATAATTAATGTTGACACTCTATATTTGTTGAAAGCTTTTTGCCACTGTACTTGAATTTTAGCAGAGCAGGGTACCTGCAGAAGCAGAATATTTCTTAGCATAGCAAAATAAATGACTTGGGAAGGGGAAAGGGAAGGCCAGATAAGGTCTCCAGTGGCTAGAGCAAAGATTGGTTAATACTTATTTTTTCTCTTATTGCTATTAATAGTAACTTTGTGTATTAAGTATGTGATCAATTGATAGTTATTAGAGAAGAAGAGAGTGGTATTTTAGTTATTTTTGTATTTTACATTGGCATCATATATGCTTACTATAGAAAATTTGGAAACTTCAGAAAAAAATTATGTATGTATGGAGAGGTGCACACCCAGAACTCCCAGCTTGGGACAACCATGTTAGCATATTGGCTCATTTCCTTCTATTCCTGCCCCCCTCCCCCAATGCATCCTCCACTCTTTACTTATGGTTTAAAGAATTGAAAAACAAACACCTTGTATCCAGTACCGTGCTTTGTTGTTGTTGTTGTTATTGTTGTTGTGTGCCGTTGAGTCAGACCTGACTCATAGCGACCCCTCCTTGGGTTTCTGAGGCGATATCACTATGGAAGTAGATTGCCCAACCTTTTGTTAACATAGTGTTGAGCCTATGTCCCCTTTTTTACCATTAGGAAATGGATCAGACAATGGCTGCCAATGCCCAGAAGAATAAATTCTTGATTGATGGGTTTCCAAGAAATGAAGACAACCTTCAAGGTTGGAACAAGACCATGGATGGGAAAGCAGATGTATCTTTTGTCCTGTTTTTTGACTGTAATAATGAGGTAATGAAAATCTTCATCAGCACACATGGGCTTTAAGCAACTGATGTTCAAACAAAGTGATTTTTAACTTATATCTGCATTTTATAGCGGCAGCAGTATTTTTTTAATTGGTAGGTTAGATGGACAGAACAGGCTTTGGAATATTAAAAACTCTGGTATCAGCAGCCTTATGGACCTAAAATTTGCTTTCTTTTCAGAATAACAAGAGCCTGGTTATTTTTTTAAGAATTAACATGCACGATAATGTTATCTTTAATTAAGCTGACCTACTATTTTCTTAAATATACACTATTATCAGACAGTGTCTCACCTTAGGGTGTTGTTTACTGGAAAAGAAACATACATTTCTGGAAGTTTGGACAGCTGTCTTATTTTAAAGAGGCATATTAAAAAAATAAATAAAAATAACTTGTTGCTATTGAATTGATTCCAACTTACACCGACCCTATAAGACAGGGTAGAACTGCCCCATAGGGTTTTCAAGACTATAAATTTTCACTGAAGCAGACTGTCACATCTTTCTCCCTTGGAACCGCTGGTAGGTTTGAATTGCTGACCTTTCGGGTAGCAGCTAAGCGCTTAACCACTGCGCCACCAAGGCTCCTTATGAGACGCAGAACAGCCTGATTTGTCTTCTAAGAGTGAAGTGCTCTGGAGAAAAACAGGAAAGTGTTCTTTTTCTTTCTAACACTTCTAATAACGTACCCAGACTTGCCTTTGAATAACTAAATGAATTTCTTGGAATCATTTAATTAAAATGCCTGGCTCTGTTTGACAGCCACTGTAATATAAACTTCATTAAATTAATGCCAGCATCCTGAGGGAAGAAGAATCTGAAGCTGTGCCCTGAAGGTTTGCTATTCTTAGGTTAGATTGCAAATGTGCCTCTGGTGGAGAGACTCCTCTAGCCTTTGCATTGTTTTAAAATGTAACTCTCTTCTTCCAACCACCAAAAATATGTTTTCACTTATTCTTCAAAGTTAACTTTAGAATGTTACCACAGCTTTTTAACAAAGGAATGTTTATTCACTATTAACAAGGGATGCTTTATTCAAATGCAAGTGCTTTGACTCTTAGATATTTGGATATTTATAGAATTATTGACAAGTAAGGAGAAATGGAACAAAGTTCGAAGCATGTAATTCATACCTAATAAGTTAATAATATATCCTAGATGGAACCATACACATACAGGTCATCTTTTTATTGCGGTGTTTTTTTTTAAAAAAAAATACACACACACACACACAGGAAAAACTGAGTCATGAATGATTTCTTATGCTCTGTACTTATTTAACCTAGTTTATATAAATTGAACCACATGTTTAAATTTGAAAGGTTTTTTTTTTGCATGTTGATTAATGAATTAGATACATTGCATTTAATGCAGGGATTTTTTGGTAATATCTTCAAACTTTATTTCTTTTCAGTTTAAAAGGATGTCAAATTCCTATCTCCCTATTCTTTTACAAAGTCTTTATTTATCTCTTTTCAGATCTGTATCGACCGATGTCTTGAGAGGGGAAAGAGTAGTGGTAGGACTGATGACAACAGAGAAAGCTTGGAAAAGAGGTACTTAGCAGTTTTTACATATTGACACCTCAATCCCAGTGTGGAACTTGAGTAATAGATTAAAGACCTGCCTCACTTTGGCCCAGAAAAAGAAAATGTCATGCATAAATGTGTAAAATGGTTCATCTAAAGAGACTGTATGTGAGTTAGTTGGGTCAGGTCTAGGGTTATCCTCTGAGCTGTTCTCTAACATGAAGGAGAAAGATAGATAATTAGGATGTTGCAATATTTGCTTCTTTTGCAGAATTCAGACCTATCTTCAGTCTACAAAGCCAATTATTGACTTATATGAAGAAATGGGGAAAGTCAGGAAAATAGATGCTTCTAAATCTGTTGATGAAGTGAGTATCCCTAACCTGGTTTAAGAGAAAAAGTCAACTGAAAATGTGATTAATTTATTTTGGAATAGGCAGGAGAAAATCTATGACATTAGTGTTTTTGGTTTTTTAAAGACTGGAAACTAAATGAGAGTTCTTTTTGATAGTGTCTAAAGCGGGTTTTACAAATTCAGACTTGATTTTCATGAGAGGTTGGTTTATTAATTCCAAACTCCTTTTCTTAAGCATTGGAAAACTGACATTTTGAGAACTGTTACAAAAAAAAAAAAAAAAATTACTCTGTACATGTTTTAAAAGGCTGTAACATGGCCGGCCAGGTCATCCAGCTCTGAAGCCCCAGGTTGTGTCCCTCTTTGCCTTCAGCGAGCACGTAGTGCCAGAGGTGCAGGGTTTACACGACTCATCACTTCTCCCTTCCTTCATAAATCAGTAGTCTCTAGATTGTGGTTTGCAAGCCCTCAGTTCCTGGTACAACTTTCCAGTGTCTCCTGATTCTCCCTTTCCCTGAATCTGCTTCTTCTGGACCTTTCTTTTTTATCTTGTATACATTTTCAACAACAACAACATTTTTGCTTATTATCCGCTGCCACCTCCTGTAGAGGTAAGGTAATATATGAAAAAATGTAGTGCATTAGAATCAGAACTAAGAAGATAAGCCACTTTAGTTTACATTTTATCAAATTATTGGTAATCTATCAAGATGTTTGTTTTATCCTAAAAACACTAGTAAAATTGAATGCAATACTTCATAACATTATATGTATTATTTATGATATTACATTACTATGTAAAGTAATATAAAAACTATATGAACTGTAGTTCATATATAACTACAAAATTATGTGATTTTTCAAAAAAAGTCAACTACTTAAAAAAATTAATATAGTATTGATAAGAATTTAGCCATATGGTGTTTTGACAATATCTGCTTTTTAAATTATTATAATTATCTTTTTCCTCTACAGGTTTTTGATGAAGTTGTGAAGATTTTTAACAAAGAAGGCTAACTCTACACCTGAAGGCATCCTTGAAATCATGCTTGAATATTGCTTTGATAGCTGCTATCACAACCCCTTTTTATGGCAATTTTGATCTTTCATAATTATATCTCAGTTAATGGCTGGAACGTATCTAGTAAGACAAATTAAATGTTTTATCTTTTTTTTTTTTTTTTTCGTTTTATTTTTGTTTTTTCATCACAGGAGTAAACAGTGAATTCAAGCTCAACCTTATCTTAATTATGGTGCTCACTATACAAAGAAGGGTATCAGCTAATTTTTGTTTTTATTCAAAAAGAATATCCCTTTAATAATCTGTGCCTTCTGTGAGCTAAACTTTTTAGTATGTGTGTACATCCCCTTAGTAGTTACAATACATAGGGATCCCCAGTTCCTCTTTATCTTGCAGGTTTTAAATTTCCAACCTGTTAAGTGAATTTGTGGACCAAATTTCAAAGTAATTTTTTGTGTAGTCACTTCTTGCAAAATGTTTTTGGTAAACAAACTCATAAAATGACTTCCTAGAAGTGTTTTAGTATTTACCAGATAACTGACCATTTCCTATAGAAAAATAAGAAAACTTGGGCTTTGTTTTACTACAACTTGTACAAAGTTGTGTGGCGGCATATTCTTTACTTCCAGGGTTTGGGTTGGGGGCACTGGGGTTCAGAGCCTGGCAGAATGTCAACTTTATTCTGACATAAACCTGAGGATAAGGGGTGAGGATCGCATCTAATGGCAGGGTTCCTTATGCTCTATTATATAGTGTTACTAATGATTAAACTGATTTTAACAAATTCCTGGCAGTGGAACACTGAAATGCATGTGCTGGACTTATGATTAATGATTCAGTTAGAGCTTAGTAGCACTTCAAAGACGTTTTTGTTTGTTTTTAGTTTTCTAGACTAGATACAGGTTTAGTGTAATATAGAAGAACAAATGCTAATGGTTAAATTTCTCATTTGTATTTTGTTTTCTTAAATACTTTTTTCATAATCATTTGTTTAAAGATTTAAAAATCATTGCACTTTCGTCAGAAAAATAATAAATACATCTTATAAATGTTTGATTTCCTTTCTGGCTACTTTTATTCTGTACATTATATTTTTTTGCCTCATGTTGAAACATTGAAAGGTACAGAATAAGAAAGGCTACAGAGTCCAAAAGAATTTTATCTTAAATCCATTCTTCCTTTAAAAATCTGAGAAATTTGTTTTCTTTGTTCTTATCATTTTCTTCTATCACTAATGCAAAGTGGTGTTCCGTGTTGTTAATATGGGATTATTTAAAACATATCCCATGCTCAGCACTTAGGCTGTTAGGTATCCAGGGTTAAATAGGGCAAGGAATTCTGTCTTTGTTTAATTAAATTTTATATTTAAAGTCATTGGGAATAGTGAGGATGATGTGATGAATGACCCTATAAATGTACTTACTGGAATCACTTATTTCTATGTGTGTTTTGAAATTCACATATTAAAGATACATTTTTCAATATGCTTGGCACTAGACAACATAGTATCTGTAAGATCTTTGTGATTTTGTAACTAACATATTGGTCACCAAAATTTGTGCTGAGATTATATTGGTTTCTTGGAAGAGATTGTAATGTAATGACTTCTTATCTAGCAGTTGAGTCCAGCCATACAGAGGGACTTTATGGGTGGTTTAATCAAACTGCTTTAGTATGAATCCAAAGACTAAGTTTTGAAGAACATTCCTGTTCACATATGTGAAGAGATTTCTCAGATGGGGATCTAAATATTTATATTGATGTTGTAAAAGCAGCATTGAAGTTGTTAAGGAGACTGTCGAGACTAGGTGCTTTGCTTCCATTCATCAGATATCTTTCTGTGGCACCATTCATCAGATATCTTTCTGTGGCATTTGAGAACAGAAACCCAAGAAACAAAGTAATTTCTAAATTATGAGGCTTTGCTTTTTGTTTGCTTTTAAGTAGAAAAACATGTTGGCAATACTGAGTTTTGGAGTTGATTGAGATACATCTGACTTCACTAGTTTGGCTATTCTGTTTGTTAAAGTTACAGTCACCAAGATGTTTTTGACTTTCTTGAGAGACTCCAATTAGAGCCTTGCTTTTTTTTTTTTTCCTCCCTTTAAATTAAATTAACGAACATTATTTCCATTTAATGATGTTGGATATGTATGAATTATTTAGTAAATAATCCCAATAAATTTTGTGCTGTGGCCTTTGCTGTTTGCTGTTCAGATTTCTGTTCTCTCAAGCATATTGAAGATCAAGACATATCATATTTAACATGTGGGTCTTTATATGGCAAAAGTTCAAGATCTAAGAGAATTTGCTGCTCTGTGTATTATGTTTGTGCATCTGGAATGGACTTTATCCCATTTCCTTAAGAACTAATCTGGATTGAGGCATAAGCAGCCTGTTTCATTACCTGCTTGTAGCACTAATTGCTTGTCTCTTTGAGGGGGAAACTGATCCAGGCGGTGTGTCTCAGAGTGTGAGGGTTTTTTTTTTGTGTATGTGTGGGCTTCTGCTTTGTTCATGTATTTTAAGTGGTTTCCGGACATTCCAGTGGCCCCTGGAGATAACAGAGGCTGAAAGTATTGGCCAGACTTGGTTTGGTCCTTCATTTCAGTCACTTACTAATTGCACAAGCTATAGTGCTATGGTGACATACTCTGCCTTCCAAGGGTTTTCTGTCTATAACAAATACTCTGATATGGACAGACTTTCAAATATCTTCTGTTGGCCAACTTCAGTCATTTATAGTGCGTTTCAGTTCTCCCTAGTCCACTTACATACTTCATCTACATTAAGAACTTTTTAATTCCAAGCACTTTTTAAAAAATTATTTAAGTAAAAGGAAACTCATTTATTGTGTACCAACAAAAGAAGGTAAAAATGGTCCTAATCACCTATCCCTTTATTTTTGCATCCCTGACTGCAAAGTAAATATACCTCCTCCTCACTTACCAACATAGTTAGGTTCCAAAGACCAGGTCATTCTATGAAAATTGGTGTTATGTGAAAATGGAGGATGACTCCACATCAGATCACAATATGGAGGATGACTGCATCATTATATAACTGCCAAATTACATTTTATATAACTTCTAAACCATTAAGGATCATGGCCTAGCCAAACTGACACATAACCTTAATCATCATAGCCAGCGTTACTCTTGCCTCACACCTTGGCATGTTACTGCCAAACGTACGTCATTAATGCACAAAATAGAGTAGGTTTTTTGCTGTTGTCACAAATGCACAATGTCAGATAACAAGGTGGTCAAAGTGAGGAGTATGTGTACTCTCATGGGTATGCTTTCCTTTGGATAAACCAAACCAAAACCAAATACACTGCTGTTGAGTTGGATGTGACTCATAGCAACCCCTCCTTGGGTTTCTGAGGCAGTGTCACTACGGAAGTAGGTTGCCCAACCTTTCTTCCAAGGAGTACCTGGTGGGTTTGAACTGCCAGCCTTCTGGTTAGCAGTCTAATGCCTTAGGTACTATACCACCAGAGCTCCTTTCCTTTGGATGGGTGTGGTTATTGGGATTGTGATGTTGAACCTTGGGTCAGCTTTGCTTTCCTGTCCTGGGAGAGCTGAAAAACTAGTTGAATTTCAGGCTACCACTCAAAGCCAACCATACCAGCCATCTCTAGACTGTCACCAGGACTTTGACCTTTGTGGTATCCCTGACATCCCTTTTGGATCCCTCTCCATAAGGTTTCTCTCTTACGATTTTGTCTGCCTATGATCCAGGCATGAAAGAATAGAGTTTAATTATTTTGTCTTATTTAGGGAAACAAGAGTAATAAATCAGAACATTTTTTCTAGGTGAGGTTCTTTCATTTATGATACACATTTTGAAGCACCTTTATTCAACTACAGAACAATGGCCTTTGGCATTTTAACCAACCAGAGGAAAAGCATTTACAGAGGTAAGTTACCCTACATCCCAGCTTTAATGTTCGATAATCACAAACAAACTTTAAGATTTGTCTTCTACATAGTGAAATCAAGTAGTTAAGCAGCATGCTATATAAATAGAATATGCATTCTCATTTGATTGAGAAACTGCTTTTTTTTTAAGAAAAGTAAAAACAGAAAACTCACATATATAATCTTTTGTACTACTCTTTTGAAGGCTTCCTCAGAAGTAGACTGTCAATAGCTGCTTCTACTATCCAGAGGTGCCTTGACAGAAAGGCTTGGTGGTTACTGCTAAACATCAGCCATTGAAACCCTATGGATCACAGTTCTACTCAAACACACATGGGGTTGCCTGAGTCAGACTTGACTTGACAGCAACTGGTTCTGGTTCTGGTTCTGGTTAAGTACTGCAGTAAAATTAGGTGAGCTTTCAAGAAAACCCCCAAATTGAATACATTTCCTTGCTAGTTTCTCAACCCTTACAGTACTTTGAGGACCCTGGGTGGAACTGGTCTTACAGCTAGCTGCCTGGCTCCAAGGACTTCCAGAGCTGGAAGGGAAGGGCATTGAATAGGTTCAGCAGTGTCTTAGTTCTCTAGTGCTGCTATAATAGAAATACCACAAGTGGATGGCTGTAACAAATTCATTCTCTAACAGTTAAGGAGCCTGGAAACCTGAATTCAGGGACCAGCCCTAGAAAAGGCTTTCTCTGTTGACTTGAGAAGGTCCAACATCTGCGGTCCTGGCATGCCTTGGTGATCTCCATGTGTCTTGGCATCAGTCTTCTCCCGGGTCTAAGAGGTTCTCAGCACTGGGAGCCACCATCCAAAAGATACACTCTACTCCTGGCTCTTGTCTTGGTAGTCAGATCCTTCTCTCTTTGCTCACTCCTCTCTCTGTTTATCTCTTGTAAGATAAGTGGTGATGCAGGCCACACTCCAGGGAAAATCCCCTTTCGTCAGATCAGGGCTGTGACCTGAGTAAGGGTGTTGCAGCCCACCCAAATCCCCTTACACCTGATTGGCTGATCACTTCCGATCACATCATGGGGGATGATTACTTTATTACATACTGCCAAATTACATAATTACATAAATGCCAAATTACATCACTGTACAGCCACCAAACCACTCAGAATCATGGCCCAGCCAAGTTGACACATATTTTGGAGGGATACAAGTCAACCCATGATAAGCAGTCAGTACTTAAAAGCACAGAGCTATTGTGCATGCTCACACTGTTGATTGTTTTATAAAGAAGTATTTTCACTAGTGGCTCTAAAGTCACTGCCAGAACATGGGCAGTAGAGTGTCTACAAGCATGGTGAAGCTGCATCAAAATGGCCTCATCAAAATGTAAAACTTATTTTTGATTACCAGGAAACATATACAATAGATACTACCCTTATCTTGACCTCAGTTGGGATAGTGTCAAGATAGACACTATTTTATTTTATTTTTTTTACATAATTTTGGGAAAATATGCTAAAATACAGTGGCTTTTAGATTGGGTCAGAGTATTCCCACATCAAAATGACAAGTTGGAACAGCTACCTCAAAATATCCCTGGCATCAAACAGCTGTGTCAGAGTGTCCATATCTACATAGTGTGAAACATGATTGAGCAGAGACTATTCCTCTGTTTAGGGCCTTTACTTAGGTCTGGATAACTCCTATTTAAGAAAAGATAACTAGATTTGAGGCTGCTGCTACTGTGTGCTAATGGAAGATTTGGTAATTTAAGGGATGGATGGGGTGGGGAGAGTAATACCAGTTATACAGAGAGGATTTTGTTCACTTCAGTTTTGCTTCATAGATGATAGGTTTTGCAGGAGCTTACCTATTCTGATAATCACTTCCCAAAACACCATTTCTTAATCATTCTAAAAGTCTTCATGATTACAGACCACATTTCCATACCTCTTCGTGAGTATTTTGTTGATGAAAATGGGTGTAAGGAATGTGACTCCCTTAACACCAGGCCATCTACATTTATCCTTAATGTATGGTTTGAGTAATTTTATGGATAATCTTAAATTAGCTTGTGTATTTGACTTAAGTAGCTGTTTAATTGAAACAACTAAAAAGAAACTCATATGACAATATACACATTATGGCAGATTGGTGAAATAATAGATCC